ATAGGTCACGTTCTAAAAGCAACCTATTTATTACTTTTCTTCCCTTGAAATCTAATAATTTTGACTTCATAATGCATTTTTGCATTAACAGAAAGTAAATTATAGTAACCTAAACCAAGTTCAAAGTACCCAACCAAAGGGAACGCTAATCACTTTTTGATTGATGATAAAAAAAAAACACACATTTTAGGAAAATCAACATCAATTTATGAAGTTAGATTATGTGATGTTCTCTCAAATATTTCAGTTGTATTGAGAACTCAACATTCAAGATGACTTTGGGAAACGAGCGAATGCAACTAGTGAAAGATAACTGCAGACATGGAGGAAATGGGTGAAAAGTCTATTAAGACTCTTTTTCTTTTCCTCTTCTTCTGTTGTTATGTTGCACATTAGCAACATATTAATGCAATGCTGCCTCGCACTGGTTTAATAATGTCATTGGTTCCTTTGTGGCTACTTGAATATTTTAAGTAAGTGTCACTCAAAACAGTAAGTAAACTGTTTTATTTGCCTTGAAAGTAGCTGTAACTTAGTAAAACCTAGTAAGTATAACAACTAAGTAAAGATAACTAACTAAATCCAAGTAATGTAAACTAGCTTTACAAAAGCTATTTGTATTTTCAGAATAAAGGTTTTTAACATCAATAACACTAATGACAATCTATTGTACTAACAAACAATCTAGGGGCAAGCATCTTTTTTAAATTGTTTATACTACTAAAAAAGAATGTAAATGTACTAGATGAAGGGAACAAAGGTTTTTCAGGCACTTGACAAATGCATTATTATTTTCTTAAATGTGCAAAATAATATGGAGAAAAAACAGTATAATGAATATAAACTGTTGTGTTATAAAATTATGCTTTTCTGAATATTTTTATAACTCAAAAGTCAAGGCACAGGTTTGTCACTGCACTTTTAACCCATAAAGCATTCTAACAAAACACAAAGCTATACGAAGAGTTTCAGCAATTTATGTGACATCTGTGTCAGGTTCTTGCTCACTTCTGACCCACAACTCCCATACAGAGCTGACATGTATTGTAGGTGTAATCAGTGTCACAGAGTCAGATTCACTGAATCCTTTGCTGATGCAGATCATGATACTGTGGACATCCTACCAGGGTCAGTGTGAGTAGGCTGCAAACACTACAGGCTTGTTTTTGTAAAGCACAGGAGCTCCCAGGAGTGCCATAACTCTTAACCCCAATGTGGAGAAGGATGTTCCTATTGTGCTTCCTAATTGCAATGTGGATCTTTCATTTAGTCTGTGTAAAAAATCACGTCATTTCCTGTCCTGCTGCTGGAAAGAGTTTTTGGTGACAGCCCAATACTCTGGAATTTTCTTGTTCCAGTGATCTATGACCTATATGAACTGCGAAAACCCATTAAACTATTTACTTAAAGGGGTCATATGATGCGATTTAAATTTTTCCTTTCTCTTTGGAGTGTTACAAGCTCTTGGCGCATAAAGAAGATCTGTAAAGTTGCAAAGACTAAAGTCTCAAATCCAAAGAGATATTCTTTATAAAAGTTAAGAGTCAGCCACACCTACCTAAAACGGCTCGTTCTAACACCCCACATATCTACGTCACTATCTTGGAAGATTTGCATAACACTGCCCAAATGTTCACGCAAAGAAAGAAGGCGTAACTCTTATTCTCGCTGTAGTATTGTTGCCGCCGCCATGTCGTGAAGTCGCTGTGTGCTTCGTTGTGAAAGCGAAACCACTTTGCTTGGCCTTCCAAAAGAGGACGATATACGCTTTGTCATGCCTAGAGCTGATCCGTGCTGGTCGCTGAGGAAATACATCAACTTCACGCTGTCGATCGCCGGATCGGCTTTCACCGTGGACGAAGCGGAGTCCAGCCCGGGGTCATCACATGTGGTTGCCACAGGCATCACAATATGGTAAGGGACGTAACATTTCCGTCACACGCTTGAGGAATTCGGCCAATCACAAGGCACTGGATAGCTGGCCAATCAGAGCACACCTCGATTTTTCCGAAAAAAAAAGTTTCAGAAAGGCGGGGCATAGAGGAGAAACAATAATGTACAGTATGTGGAAAATAATGTGCTTTTTGAACCTTAAACCGCATAAACACATTTCATTACACCAAATACACAAAATAATGTTATTTTTAGCAACATCTACTTTCATTTACCTACAACAAGGGCTACTTTTGGAGACGCTGAACAATTTAGGTTCTCTGAAAATGAGAATGTCAGCATTAATTTGTAAATATTTATTAGGTTTGACAGCTTCGGAACCATTTTTCTTAAGGGTGTTTGATGCTTGTGACCGATCATAGACCCCATAGTCGACCACTAACATCTTGTCTGAAGTTACTAACTATTGTGTTTACTCAACTAATTTCCTGAAACCACAGTAATGATTACGATGAGAGACGTTTTAATCAGTTTCGTCCTGTTATGTCTGGTGTGCACTTTATAGACAAATCACACGAGCAAGACAGCATAAGTGATCGACGTCATTATTCAAGTATTTTGCCTGTGAAAACAACAAAAGCTTATAGCACCTCTGAACTCATGCTCTCCAACAGTCATACCAAAAATCATTACGTTTATCCTCAAATATGTTATTCTGACAAAAGAGAATTTCCAATGCCTTGATCCCATGTGTTTACAATGTGACAACAGGGGGAGGATCAGTAGTGGCTGACCTTGGCCACTGCACAAAGTAATATCATTTTCCCTCATGTGCGCAAACATTTTAGAGCGATGTTGTTAATGAGTTCGCAAGGCATCTTTTCCTGGTGGATAGTCAGATCTATTTCCTTAAGACTTCACTTCAAATGAAAATCATGGAAATGAGTCATAGTGCCAGTGACAGTTTGTCATGACACTTCTTGACAGGTGCATAACAGGATGTACACTATAGTGTTCATACATAATCATACAGTAGCCTATAAGCAAAGATGATGTTGAGATGTATAGGTATCATGATAAAACATTGAACAACATATTCAGGCTCATTTTTATTTATTAATATAATATCGCTCATTAATTGTTAATTGATATTTGTCTGTAACAAATGATGTTAATATATACAACTTGAAATACTACAAATGTATTACTAGTCTTTGTAAAAATTAACATTAATGTAGATTAATAAATGCTGTAAAAAAATAATTATTTTAACAAACTGAACCTTATTGAAAAGTGTTGCCGATATCGCAAATGTGTCTGCTGTGACTGGTTTTCGAGGGCCTTTGATTTTGTGACTAATATGTAAGTGTGTTTGTGCTGTTGATCGCGGAAAAAAAAATGCACAAATGTACTTACATTTTATTCTAAACAATAAACGTGAAGTTTAGAGCAAAGTTCTGTTATTTTAGGGAAGTTCCTGTATGAAAACCACGGGATATAAAAGGTAATTGGGATTTTTTTCTCTCACAAATCTGAGTTTATATCTCACAATTCTGACATAATTTCAGAATTGCTAAATATAAAGTCAGAATTGCAATTCTGAGAAAAAAAGTTTGAATTGTGAGAGAAAAATTCTTGATTAACTTTTTAATTTTTATTCTGTGGTGGAAACAAAAAAAAAAGCAATTGTGCGGTCAGAATTTTGAGAAAAAAGTCATAATGGCAAAATATAAACTAGTAATTGCAAAATATAAATGTAAACTCATAATTGCAAAAAATAAAAATGTCAGAAATCTTTGTTTATATCTCACAACTCTGACTTTTTTTCTCAGAATTGTGAGACATGCGTTTCTATCTAAACAAAAACAGATTGGACACTGGTGAAACTGCTATTATAATATAATGAAGTATTTGCACTTTCAATGTTGCTTGCAAAAAATAAATGGCTAATTTTGTGTGGCCAACAATGGAGAAAGATGCTTTTTGTTGCTTTCAGACGGTGTAGTTGCAATATCAACCAGCATGTGCTAACTATAGTCTATGCTAACCGGTGAAACTTTGACCCTTGTTGGTGTAAATGAGGTCAAAGGGTCATGTGGCATATTAATACATGTACTGCAGGTAAAGATGTGCTCTTAATCAGGTAGGTGTGAAGGCAACCTTGCATACGTGCCAGAATTAATTCAGCTGCTTACTTATGCAAGAGAGGTTGATTATGGAAAAACAGTAAAATTAGCATTGGATAAAGTGTCTCATGTTCACACAGCCCTCTTTTGTGACGCTCACATTCCGCTTTGTCATACTCCTACTTTTTTTTCTCTCACTTTCTATCTCTCTCTCTCATTTTCTTTTAATAAGCACCCCTACAGTACAACACTATCTATTGTTGTATTCTTGATTTCCTGAGAAAATAGATTTAGAATATCAGGTTTGGCAAACGTATTACAGACAGAGACTAATTAAAATGACTTTAAATGAGAATTGTAATTTCATGCCAAATTTAATGCTGTTTCTTTATAAACTTAAAAGATTAATTCATCCAAAAATGAAAATTCTGTTTTTATTTACTTACCTTCATGTCATCCCAAATCTGTATGACTTTTTTCTTTCTTTGCTAAACAAAACAGAACATTTTGAAGCCTGTGCTGGGTGGTTGCTCCTTTCAATGCAATATCAGTAGCCTAAAGGCCAACTACAGCTTCAAAAATATGCAAAAACAAGTAAAAGCATCAAAAAAGTAGTCGGTTCGACTTGTATGCTCTATTGCACGTTTACTGAAGCCATAAGATAATAACCTGTTTGCTTTAAAGCAGCACTATGTAACTTTTGGCGCTCTAGCGGTTAATAAACAGAACTGCACACATCCCGCGGAAGAACATTCCAACCGGAGCTACTTCTCTAAGTTTATGTCTATGGCGATGCAAACATATATATATATATATATATATATATATATATATATATATATATATATATATATTAGGTGTAGCCTTAAAGACTAAATAGTCAAACATAGCTACAGCTTGTATCAAAGCAGGTTTTGCCGTAATTAGGCCTGACAGGAAGCAGCAGCTAAGCCTAGGTGTCAGAACTCACGTGTGACCTGGACAAACTGCTGCTGTGGTTCAGATATGGCGCAGTACTTTTATATATTCATGCTCAGAAGATTGTCTTTTTAACAGCCTTTACATTTTGTGGAAAAAAACAACTATTTGTTTATCTTAGTTGCTGTCTTTTATGTCCAGAAATCATGAATGTCTTAAAGAATATTTGTATATGATTTCTCTTGGAAATATTGCAGTGCTTTTCATTCTGGCTCCACATCTTTAGGGAGGTTCCTTAACTCAGGAAAGACCAAGAAGGGGGAGGCCAGGGTGTGAACTCTACGAGGGTCTTACGGCACATGACTCAATCGTATGTCCCCACTCACCCATCCGCTCAGCCAAACCTCTTATGACACACAGACAGATGGTAAGTAGCATTCGTAGAAAGACTCTATCAGATGAAACAGCATCTCTACCCTTGCAATTTCCAGAAAATATGTTGTAATCAGGGTTGGGATATCTTTACAAGCTGCAGTTTCTGATAAGAATGACATTAGCAGGTGACTAGCCTTGAGTGGTTCGCTTTTTGTTTGTGGCCTTATTCAGCAGCAAGCTGTTTCCTACTGCTTTGGATATGCTTATTCCCAGAAGTGTTACAGCCAGTGTTCAGGATATTTGTGAACATACAAGCAAACAACTAAATATTTTTACTCTTAGAGAAAAGTTGAGTCACACAGTTTATAAAAATGGACTTGATTCAACAATCAAAAGAGCAGATTTGTGGGCTTGACTCAGCACCGTGCAAGAGACTTGTGATTTTATGTATTAGATTTTATATAAGTAGATGATCAATTGAATTTGTCATTGCTGGCAGAGTCTTGATGAAAATAATGCTGGTTCGGATCCGAACTGTGGCCTCAGGACAGCAATGTGATATGCATTGTTCTAATTAATGTTGAGAGCCATTAATCCATTTCCATCTGGGCCACCCATCAAGTTAACTGGATCATCCCAGATACCCTCCTCTGTTCGTAGCGATAAGGTACTGTAGATGTCTGACTGCCTTTTCAAATCACTTACATTACTCAGTTTTTTATGCAAAGAAACTTTCCTAATGGCTAATTTTGACAGAGGAGGGCTTTGGTCCCCCATTGCATGGGACACTCCTGCTTATATTTGGACTAAGGCAGAAATGTTGGGTTTAGTAACCAAAATAACTACTATACCTCCATCCATCTAGCTCATTATCATTGCCAATAGAAGGATGCAATATGTATATTATATACACTACCATTCAAAAGTCTGGGGTCAGTAAGATATTTTTTGTTTTTGAAAGAAATAAAACTTTTATTCAGCAAGGATGCTTTAAATTGATGAAAGTGTCAGTAAAGACATTTATAATGTTACAAAATATTTCTATTTCAAATTAATGCTGTTCTGCAGTTGAACTTTCTATTCATCAAAGAGTCCTGAAAAAATGTATCATGGTTTCCACAATAAAAATTAAGCAGCAACAATGACAACTTTTCAACAATTTATCGATATAGGCTAGCTATTGAATATTTCATTGTTCATTCTCAGGTCCCCTATTTTTGCATTTAGAATACCTTTGTCATAATCTAACTTCAAGCTCATCTTTAAAAACACTAATAATTTAATAACATTGTTAAATCTATATAATCGTCAGCAAATCTCAAAATGAATGCCCAGTTTTCATACTTTACATTATAATGTAATGATGCTTTCATTAACATATAGCATTTAAAACAACTGATTTTAGATTTGAGTGTTTTATCTTTAAATTTACTTTAATATTTACTATACAAAATAGCATGCCGTTTTAATGTCAGCCATTTACCATTTATCAGCAAATAATCATCCGCTTATATTGGCTAGAATTTTGACATATATGTTTGATTAACAATCAAATACATTAAGTACCTTGTGTCTTCTGAACAGTTTGATTAGGTAAGACTCCTACATTCAGCTGAGTGTTTGTTCATGACATACTGAGGCTTTTTTTGTTTTTTTTAATTTTTCTGAGGATCCTGAAAAATGTATCCATATGCTATCAACTATGAGTGTCCTTGAAGGTCTTTCACTTACAATGTGCTAAGTTTGTCTGCTCTTTTATGCAATGGCCATGGCCAAGTTATAGTCATGTGTCCAAAGCCTCAGCAGATTTTGATGCAGTCTCAGAGTGATTAAGAAGGCTTTTCGTTCTATCCTTAGCTTCCCGATTAGCAGGTAGGCCCCCAGTGGGACAAGTGCTTTTCAGCTGGCAGTTCACAGCAGCTCCTGCTCCTTCTCAACTCTCATTGTGTGGAAACTCAGAAGATGCTTTTCTGAGCTCTTGGTTTTCTCAACGTTGAGATCATGGTTCTTATGATGGTGAGTATTTTGCAGTCCTTTGGGACAGTTTGAGTTTACACTGAAGACTTTCCTGGTTCTTTTGGATCGCAGTTAGTTGAAAATGTAATTAAAACCATTAAGAGTGCTTTTTCACAGTTATTACTTTGACCTTGGCTAAACCTCAATGGTTTAGAAAATGTCTATGGTAAAAGTAAAGATTCTCTCCAATTTCTGTGCTTCAATTGGTGTTTTTGATGGTCTTGGTGTTCAGATCTGAATTAAGTGATCACGAGGATATCAACACAGGTGCTTGCAATAATACTGGAGAAACATCATTGCAGTTATCTGGCATGCATTAAAATTATTGTGCCAATCAGAGTTGAAAACTTCTGCCCGCATTTACAAGGTTCTGTGGACATCCATGATGCTTAAAACGTCCTTAGCTCAGGTTTGTTTAACATCTTTTTCATATGCATATCTTTTTCATTTCATATTTTTCATATTTTGAGCTTACAGATCCTCTGTATCACAAGAATTTACTTGTTTTGGGTAACATAATTGATTTCATATGATTTATATTATTTGTTTACATTCTGTTTTCTTCAAATGTTCTCATCAAAAGCAGATATTGTAACAAGCCTCTGGGTAATTTATTAGAATATCTTTTTTTCCAGAAAGAAGGATGCAGATTCAGCTTTCCTAGGTCTGTATTTTGTAATCTAAATTACATCAGTAACACTTAAAAATGTAAATTATCAAAAATTTTTTTTTTTTTTTGCTTTCCTGTAGTTGGACATTATGATCATGGGCCATTTTGATCACTATATCATTTTTGCACATATGTATTTTTTTCCCCATTGTGTCCTAGTTTTTGATAACCTTTGATAACCTATTGATGCAACTACCAATATTTATACACGCACACACATACACACACACACACACACACACACACACACACACACACACACACACATATACAGTGTCATATACAACGTCTTCCATTTAAGGATTATGGAGGCCACTGTGCTCTTAGGAACCTTAAGTGCAGCAGAAATTTTTTTTGTACCCTTGCCCAGACCTGTGCCTTGCCACAATTCTGTCTCTGAGCTCTTCAGGCAGTTCCTTTGACCTCATAATTCTCATTTGCTCTGACATGCACTGTGAGCTGTAAGGTCTTATATAGACAGGTGTGTGGCTTTCCTAATCAAGTCCAATCAGTATAATCAAACACAGCTGGACTCAAATGAAGGTGTAGAACCATCTCAAGGATGATCAGAAGAAATGGACAGCACCTGAGTTAAATATATGAGTGTCACAGCAAAGGGTCTGAATACTTAGGACCATGTGATATTTCAGTTTTTCTTTTTTAATAAATCTGCAAAAATGTCAACAATGCTGTGTTTTTCTGTCAATATGGGGTGCTGTGTGTACATTAATGAGGAAAAAAATGAACTTAAATGATTTTAGCAAATGGCTGCAGTATAACAAAGAGTGAAAAATTTAAGGGGGTCTGAATACTTTCCGTACCCACTGTATATATATATGACAAAACTGAATTATCAGCATCATTACTCCAGTCTTCAGTGTCACATGATCCTTCAGAAGTCATTCTAATATGCTGATTTGGCACTCAAGAAACTTTTTCTCATTATTAATGTTGAAAACAGCTGCTTGATATTTTTGTGGAAACTGTAATGTTTTTTTGTTTTTTCTTTTTGGGTCAGGTTTCTTTGATTGAATAGAAAGTTCAAAACAAAAGCATGATCTTTTTATCATTATAAATATCTTTGCTGTAACAATTGATCAATTTAATGCCTCCTTGCTGAATTAAAAGTACTGATTTCTTTGCAAAAATCGTACTGACCCCAAATAGTTTTAACGGTAGTGTATATTAGGGATTATTATGTGCTTTGCAAGACTTAAAGAGTCTGATTTGGTCCTGTTATGCAATAAACCTCTCAGGCTGTATCATTTCCCTGTTTTTGTGCCGATAGCGCGAGTGGAAAAAAAGAGCTGGAACTGAGGCTTTTTTTTTTTTAAGCGATCATGGTCTTTTTTTTCCAGTAAAAAAAAAAAAAAAAAGTAAATGTGTTTCAGAATATAAGGCAATGCATTAACTGACCTTACATCCAGTTTAGAAATCCAACTTTATTGGTTAAAATACATCAGATGTCTGATCAAGAATTTAAGTTGGATTTCTTCAAGAGTGAGTGTTGCACCTTTTCTCATCGACAAAATTTTTTTTTATTTTTGGTTGCACCCCCTCTTCTGTCGGTAGAGAACCTCTTTTTCAGCAATCTTTCTTACATCCAGTTTAGAAATCCAAATTGTTCTGTTATTGGTTTTGTGTTAGATTTCACTGATTTACCCTTTCTTTTAACACATCAAGTATTTCTGTTTCTTACTTCATAACTTTGTTTTCTTAAATCACATGACTTGGTAATATTTAATTTCACATTTGTACTTGAATCAAAAATAACAATAGGCTTCCACTGCATCATCCTGTCGCATGTTTCTTCCACTTTCTCCCTGCACTTGTAGATAAGCTCTTTAGTCTAATTCAAGCGAAGTCTGCTCTTTTTATCCCTGCTTAGTCTCTGATATCTGTCCATTATTTCTGTGTCTTGAACTTCGTAATGCTCCCTCAGCCGTAGCGTGTGCCAGGCACAAATATGCTGTCATGATGTGCCAGTGGGATTCTGGTAGATGTACCTGTTTAGGTTTTTTTTTTTTTTTTTTAGCTTTGGTTCAACATCAACTCTACAGATACTTTCAGTTTTAATAGTTGCAATGGGCATTAAGCACTCTGTGCCCATTTCAGTTCTAAAGGTACCATGTCTTATGTAAAGAAGCTTGATTGTGCAAGGAAGTGATTGAGAAAAGACTTTAATGAGATTCTGGTCGAACAGGTGGTAGAAAAGTAGGTTCAGGTACAAATTTTTTTTAATTGAAATGTAAAGTATCAATTAGTAATCTAAAAACGCTACATTTCATAACAGTGCAAATGTTTCAGTATTGTGTTTGGATCACTTAGCAGAGAATTTTAAATTCCGTTAAGAACAGGATCGATTTAAAAGCATTCAGTGTTTTTTAAGCTTGTGAGTTTATCCTCTTGTTTAAGCTTATTAGTTTATGCCCAGGTTCATCAGGACTGCCTTTACACAAGGAATATTCTCATAAACGATGTGTTCGATTCTTATTATTATCAATGCTCTTATATTTGTTTCATATAACATATGAAAAGTATGCAACATGCTCAATTTGCAAGTGTGCATTAAAATGTAAACGGTTTCTTATTTCTAGTGAAAATGTTTGAATTTTGCATTTTTTAAAATATGTTTTCTATTTTTCTTTTCTATATTGTTTTAGATATTTTATTATATATTTATTTGAAAAACGATATAGCTGAATGAAGTCAACATGAATTCCAGAATTTCTTAAGTATTTACTTTAATGACATAAGAACTAGAGCTGTAAGAACTCCAAAAAAGTTTGTCAAACATGATGATCATTTGATCCAAAGTGCATCCTGAGCTTCAGTGAAATTGAGAACATCTGAAGTATGCATAGTTATTAATTAAATCATCTAGAAATAGAACCCTAGATATTTCTTATTCATTTTACACCATAACATATTTTTGTTTACGTTTACTTAAAACTGAAAAAAAATGTTTTGCTCCAGGTTTAAATTACATTTTAAATTCCCGATACAGCCCACATTCTTACATAGTTCATACTTGCAAATTTGTTTCATGGGCCTAAACCATTCAGTTGCATTTCTGTCCAATTTGCATCATTGTTTGCAATTGCAATTGTTTCCTGGGCTTGACATCCTAATGGAGTTGACACAGAATTACTTAACGCATTGTTGGTGATATTAAACTGGGCATGTGTTTTATGCTTTTGTCTTTTACAGAGTGGAAGGAGAGGATGAATGAGTGTGATCTGCTAGGCCAGAGAGTATAGCCCTGCTATATTTATCATCTGATTAAACCTACAGTCAGCTGACATCTACCACAGGCCGTTGGATGAAGTTAAAATGGCCTCCCACAAGCAAAGCTTTCAATGCTTTGACACCATCATGGACGACCCATCTCTCAAGCCCCCTTTCCCCCATGGGCACTGCTCCTCAGCGTCCTTCAGAGGCTCATCCGTCTCAACAAGACTGGAGCCGCTGGAGGATCGTGGATGCTATCTGTGTGCCGATCACCAGCAGGCCAAGGCGATGGCCTCAGAGGCCTCGGGAGCTTACTCAAACCCATGGTATCATTTCCAGACACATCCACACTCTCAGCAGTATACAATCAGGAGGCCCACTCGAGCTGAGGAAGCTCCTGGACAGGTTGAAGGTCACCACCACCATCATTGGCACTCCAGGAAGATTGTGCTTGTGAAAAACAGTGACCCCTCTGTCCGGAGGACCATCGTGCTGCACCGCAGGAGCCTGCGTAGTCTGGTGCTCTTCATGGACGAGGTCTCTGAACTCATGCAGTGTCTCATCAGGAAGCTCTACACACTGGAAGGCCACAAGGTGAGTCTCTTCTGGGAATATACACTAACATTCAAAAGTTTGAGGTCGGTAATATTTCATTTAGAAATTAACTCTATTAGTCAGCAAGGGCGCATTAAATATATAAATATTTCAATTTCAGACAAATGCTGCTTTTTAATTTCTATTCATTAAAGAATCCTGAAAAATGTTTTTCATATTAAGCAGCGCAACTGTTTATCTATCAACATAATAGTGTTTGATAATAATGTTTCCTGAGCAGCAAATCATTTTAAAATAGATTAAAATATAAAACTTGTAATTTCATATATTTCGCAGAGTTATTGTTACTTGTGTGTGTGTGTGTGTGTGTGTGTGTGTGTTTTGATCAGGTAAATGCCTTAAAAAAAAAGCCTTAGTGAGCATATGAGACTTCTTTCTAAAACATTACAAAATCTTACCGACCATAAACTTTTGAACAGTGGTGTAAATACTGATGTTTGTGTTCTTATACTGTGTAATCATCAAAAAACTATTTGAAAAAAAAGTAATGTTTAAGTTCACTATTATTATAGAGGACAGAAATCTCACATTTACCCAGCTTCGGAATGTATGAATTGAATTCCTTTAATTTCTGTCTGAAGTTGAATGAATTGTACACAAGTACAGAACAGATTGCTAAAATGGAGTTAACTGAATTAAATGGTTAATGTGGGGTGGAGGTGGGGATATAATCACTCTATCAACTACTTTTTTTGTAACTTTTTTTTATAACACATACCTTTAAACTTCAAGACTTTTTAAACTTTCAGACAAGGCTTTGTCATGCCATAATTCAAAGGTCCTTTTCTAGTTTTTCTTTTCAATTTAGTTAATTTTTAATTAAATTCCTTACAAATCTGCATTCTGATTTTTACCTCAATTCAAATGTATTTAATTGTCAGTTTAGTTCTAAGTGGCGCAAAACCCTGGAATTCAAAGCCTAGTCCACAGTACATCTTAAGTAAGTCATTGTTCAGGTTTGCTTATTTGTGTCTATCTGGTTGAGACAATGTTATAAAATGTCTCAAATTGTAAATAAAGTACATGTATCTATTTATATTTATTGTAAATTGACCTAAATTATGTATGGATGGCTGTTGGTTTGCAGGAGAAGCAAATGTTCTAAGGACACAGAGGCCTCTAGTGGCTGAAACCGGAGGTACAACCTGATACAAACATTCAACAGACTCTGAACAAGTTAGGCTAGCAAATCTGTTGTTCCTTCATTTGTAACCACAGCCCTCACTTTAGTTAAAAACACATGTTTACAGGAAGCTAGGTATTTGTAAGTGACGCCACATCTGACAGCTGGAAAGTCCCAAAGCTGTGGGACCTCGAAACTTGAGCTCTTTAATTCGATTTTTGTGCATTAGTTATTTGAGGCTAGCAAACAAAGTGACAGTCTCCACAGATTGAGTTGTATGATTTATGAAGTGCTCATAATGCTGAGAACAAGATTAGTTGAGCAGATCAGTCAGCGTAAAGTTCATTTTAGTTACTATCACTCCCACTAGTGCTTAAGGGCAAATGCCACAGACCACGGAAGAGGAAAAAATAAAGAATTACAGTCTGCAGGTGGTTTGGGTAGATAAGAGGTGGACAGGGTGTCCCGGGCAGTGTAAGAAATAGCCCCTCTGGGACAGAGCTATGGCAACCCTGATAAAAGGTGAGAGGCTAGGAGTTTATACAGCTCTGAGGGCAACCAGAGGCTGTTCCACAAAATCAAGACCTGTCTCTAAGTGTTCGCACGCAACGGTTATGGTACAGTATGCCACAGTGCTAATGATGGCATCACACTGTATGCAGAGAAAGTGCTGTCCCTTTAAAAGGGGAACACTTATTAGCTTGGAGTCCACAGAATGTCTGGAGTCGATCCAGGCATTTCCTGTCCATCAGAGCTGGACTCACTAGTCATTGCTGACTCTGGTCAGCGCTGCTGGTCCTCTGTGGGTCTAGCAGGCACATCCTATTAGCACTGCCATAGGCATGTACCTCCCATAGAAAACATGCTGTAAAGTGGCACACACCCCTCCACAGGGCCTGACTGATACATGGATAACATTATGAATGGCACCGAGACAATGCCAGAAATAGCTCGGCAAGCAATAGAGTAAAGTTTTATTTGTCACTGGCTGAAAGTTAAAAATGTAAGTAATGCAAGTGAACAAGAACAAAATCCATGACCCTCATGTGTCATTGAAGATATAAAGTATTGTGCTTCAGTTGCTGGGCAAGACAAATTTTAGTATATAATTTCTGCGTTTTCAGGGCTCCAGACCGCAAATAAATAGTTAAATGTAAATTTTATTTAAAACATAGTTTCTATTAATGACAGTTGGGAAAAAGCAATTGTGAAGCATTTTTTTATGTCAGTCAAAAAAAAAAAAAAATTTGAATTGGTCATTGGAGTGACTGATTCCCCCCTGAATACTGAACCGTGAATCATTTGCCAATTAGATTTGATTATAAATGAATGAGCCATGACTTGTAATAAAGAATACATATGCAGTTTTTATAAATATTTATATTTATTTATTTATTTAGTTTTTAATAAATAGCATTCTAAGAAACATTAATTTTGTAAAATATTGTTGGTAATTTATTAGCATAGTAAGGTTCAAATATATGTCAGATTGATGACATGTTAAAACCATATAAACAACACACACACACACACACACAAATATATTTAAAATACATATATTTATACATTTAAATAGGCAGTGATATTCTTACAAAAAGAATTATATTTATTTATGCCACAAATACAGTTAGCATCAAATCTGAACAACCATCTTTATCAAGTGGTTAAGGATATACACATTTTAATTCTGCATACAGGCTGTTTTTAAGATTATTTGTTATAACAAAATTACAGTGTTACTTAATGAGTTTTAAAAATGTTTGTAGCTTTCTAATTTTTAATGCACTCTTTTTAAATGTCTTTGAATACATTTTTCTGCTGTTCTTGTTAGATATGATCAGGATATTCCTTTACTGGTATTGTTGCACAGCAGTGATGCACCAGCATCCAGAGAAGAACTATTAATCTTGCTCAAATCAGAGCTATTTTGAACCAGCAGAAGCAGGTCAATGCCATGAAAACATACAGTTTGAGATACTTGCATCCTCTACAGTTCCAATTAATTATCTTCAAACCCACTGGAAAATTTTAAAGTTTAGAAGATATAAAACTGCAGAGCATGCAGATTTAGCATAAGGTTAGTATTGTGTTAAACAGTGATATGTGATGTTAATGTGTGTACTTTTACTCTCTCTATATACAGTATATTCTGCTTTCATGATTTTTGGAACCTGGTTCAACATCACATGTTGTTGGATTATTACATTTAAAAATGCTTTTTTGGACATATTATTCATGTGTCTTAGCTTTTTTTTCTTTTCCAAAAAGCCTTAAAGTGTTAAGAAGATTAGTTCTTTCTTTATTAATACCCCAATATTTCTAGCATAAGGTAATGCTGAGTTTAACTCTAATGAACTGACCTCAGATGAACTCTGATACTTGATTTGCTAGTTGATGTTGATTTAAAAAAAATTTTTTTTTATATTGATATAGTCACAATAGTTTTTTTTTAAATAGGGATGAAGACTTCTGGATTGACCTATGACCTATTTGTTTGTACACTTCTTGTTTATACTGGCCCATGGGTACTGACTCATGCACCGAAAACACCCTGCATAATGGATCACGCACATTTTCAGATCACTGCTTTCATGATTAAAAATTAGTGTGGGACAATGTACACACCAGATGACTTCCCATGGCCATTAACCTTTAATTGGTATGGCTTCAATCCCTCATAGCACATTTCCTCATCAGAATTTGGCAGTTATAATAATCCCTGCTGATTTAATTTCAGCCAGATATTGCTAATCTTATCAATTTGATTCTGTCATATTGTAATCAACCAGCAGCACAGTCTAACGCAGATAGAGCTATTTGCATGTTTTTCAGATTGACAGTGTGCACAGTCTGCTCCAGTGCCCGAGCATTTTGGTTTGTGTGGGACGTGAGCCTTTCCACCCACTCCTGTTGGACAGCTTCAGGAAGAACTCTTATGACAAACTTCCAAGGCTGAACACAAAGCCACGCTCCAGTGTCTGCAGCGATGAAAAGTGGGCCAAGAAAAATGGTAGGTCACACTCCAATAAGTCATTAATCATCAATTTTTGTCTTTCTTTACAGTAAAAATATCTAAAGAACATAAATTTACTTGAAGCAAAATTTTGCAACGTAAAACTTGGTTTTAGAGAATATATTTTCAGTTATGTGTATTTTTTTTTAACCCTGTGGTAAATTGTATTTATTTTTTATTCTATGAGTTTAATGAAAGAATTGTATATACATATTTTGTAATAGTTACTTACTTTGTTTACTTATAGTCAATTTTGGACTTGAAACAAAGAGAAACGCCATCCATCCAAGGTGTGATTCAAGCAACAGATCAGCAGGACTGTCCATCTCATCTGAAATGTTGTTTCCGAATGGACTTAACTCATTACCACCAGGACACCGAGGTGCTTGTCCTCAAACGGGAGAAAATACGATGGATGATGACATTGAAAAGCGAGTTCTGGTCAACAAAGACGGAAGCCTGTCAATGGAGATGAAAGTGCGCTTTCGACTATTACACAACGAGACATTGCACTGGTCCACAGAAGTGAAGAAGTCAAAGAGCACTTTTAATGAATCCCATATTGTACATGATGATGCTTGTTCCCTCTCGCATGGCAGTGCAGAGAGCTGCTCAGAAGCCGATTCTCTCTCTGCTGGCGAAGCAGATGAGACATACAGCACCAAACGTTACCAGAGACACTTTGAGGAGCCACATTGCCAGCACTGCTGCACTCACTGTCAGGAGTATGATATCTGGAAGAATCCTGTACCTCCCGATCAAGAATCTGTAAGACGCATCAGATCCTCAAGCTCCAGCGCATCCTCGCGGAGAATAGTGTGCAAAAAGGCATCTACCGACAGCATGCGCACAATGTCCAGTGAAGAGTACACAGAGCATGTAGTAGAAAAGGCAACTTGCATTCAACAGACCTTCGGACAGCAGGGCGACACCACGATTGAACAATGTACCATCAACCATTGCCGCAGTCGAAGTGAAGTACGCTCAATGTCCCCTAAAACAAAGAGCACAAGTACTGTAGAAGACAAGCGCGAGAACACTCATGTATCTGAAAATGACGAGAAAAGACCTGATGTCATATCCTCTAACCTCCCTAAAGATCAATTAAGTGTTCAGATCACTCAGCCAATGGAGGAAGAGGAGAGGCCTGTATCTGTTGTGAGCTCTTCTCAAATTTTAGCATCGCTGAAAGAGGATCAAGATGATGAAGATGTCGACCTTCCTTCGAGTATCACGAGAACATCCCATGGCCAACAGGAAGATGAGGAGAGCAAAGTTGCAGAACCAAACCCATGTTCTACTACACCTTGTAAATCTCCTGCATCTCCGGCATATTTATCACCAAGACCACCAAGCACAGCTTCATCTTTAGGACTGTCTAAAAGATCCAGAAAGTTGGCCAGTCCAGAAGTGGATGATGAAGAGGGCAGGTCTGAAGCATCTGCTTCACCCAAAGCTTCATCTGGACCCACAAATTGTAAATGTGTAGTCACAAAAGACATAGCAACTCTAGGGGATTCTGAATCAAATGATCAACTAGAAGGCATTCAACCCAAAACTTATGTGCAAGATGAAGAAAAAGAAGAAAGGGCACTAAGTTCAATGTCAGCCAATTCAAAAACGTCTACAAAGTCATTGTCGGAGTTATCAACCTCTTATGAGAATGAAAATGGTGCTGAGTGTATTGGAGCAAATGGCAAAATTATAGTGGTGCGATCCTCGAGTGCTATCTCCATAAAATCCATCACCTCTGGAAAATCAAATAAAACAAATGTTTCAGAGGTACTTGAAAAGGATGGAAGAGCAGCCAGTGCCATGTCAATAAAGTCTCAGAAATCTGACAAATCAAGACAAACCGAATTCTCAGACAATGTGTCTGAGGAACAAATCTCTGAAGTAAGAACATCAAGTGCCATGTCTGTTAAATCAAACACATCTGTGAGGTCAAAAGCATCAGATAATGGCTTTGATGAGCTTCCCACATTACAAGACTATGTTGAGGAGAGGGCTGTAAGTGCTCTGTCATCTAAATCAAATATTTCCACTACATCTAGTCGGTCTAAAGAGCCACAGTCTGTAACTGATGGGGCATCAGAGGAGAGAATAGAAGAGAAAGCTTCAAGTGTTAAAACTGGAACATCAAACAAGTATGGAATCCAAGAGGTGACAAATGATGATCAAACAGTGGAGAGGGCTCCCAGCTCCATTTCGATAAAATCAAATATTTCTGCAAGATCTAAAATGTCAATTGAGCTGAGCGAGCTTGAAGATCAAGACAGGGCCCCCAGCAGCATTTCTATTAAATCAAATATCTCACATAAATCAAAGTCTGACATTTCAGAAGCAGTATCTTTTCAAGAAAGAGATGAATCTTTAAATTCAGTGAAATTAAACACACCTGAAACTAAAGCAGCTCCTCAAGTGGGGCTACCAGGGGAGAGATCGCCAAGCTCTGTGTCATCAAAATCAAATATGTCTACAAGATCCAAAACATCCAAAAAATCTGAGGTAGACCAAGATGGAGCACAAGAAAAAGTAGATGTTCAGGAAAGAGCATCAAGTGCTATTTTAGTGAATTCTACCACATCTGCAAGATCAAGGAAATCTGAAAAAACACCAAAATTAGGAGAAGAAACAAAGGAACGAGCTCCTAGTGTTACGTCAATCAAATCAAATGCTTCATTAAAATCAAATAAGTCCAAGATGGAGGAGGAGGAAATAGAAAACAGAGCCTCCAGTACTTTGTCTGTTAAATCTGAAGTTTCCACATTATCAAAAAAATCGAATGTTTCTGTGAGATCTAAAGGGTCCAAAATGTCAGAGGTGGCAGGAGATGATAATCGATCATCCGCAGTATATGCAGCATCACATACCTCTGAAACGTCAAATGAAATCAGCACAGCACCTAAAGAAACCTGCAAAAGCACAGAGAAATCACCAGACAAAGAGAAAAGAGCACTAAGTGCATTGTCAACAAAATCCACTAACTCCAAGAAATCCAAAGTATCTGATATGGCTGATGATATTGTAGATGAAGATAGAGATGATTTGCGATCTGTAAGTGCAATGTCCTCTAAATCTAATGTTTCTGCAAAATCTGTGAAATCAGTGATCTCAGAATTGGTCACAGAAGAAGCACTGGACCAAACAGAAGAACGGGCTCAGAGTGCATTGGCAGCACAATCCAATCAGTCAGGAGTGACGGTAAGTGATGGAGTTGAAGTAGCAGAGGAATGGGCGCTGAGTGCCATGTCTTCTAAATCCAATGCTTCTGAAAGATTAAAAAAGTCCAGTAATTTAAAAGTGCCAACTGCTTTGCCTCAAGCAGCAAAACACCAACCAGAGGAGCGAACTCAGAGTACATTGTCAGCTAGATCAAGCATTTCAACAAGATCCAATAAGTCTAAAACTTCAGATGTTTTAACTGATATGCAAGTTGATGTGAAAGACCAAAAACAAAAGAGAGCTTCAAGTGCTTTGTCTGCAAAATCAAGCATTTCTGCAAAGTCAAAAAACTCAAATATTTCTGCAACAGACGTCAAAGCTGATGAAAAAGGAGACAGAATACCAAGTGCTATGTCAGGAAGATCTGCTATTTCTACCAAAACCAGTATCTCTGCAAAATCCAAAGCATCACAAGTTTCAGAAGTACCACCAGAAGAGACTGATGATGAAGAAAGTGAAGTAAAAGCACCAAGTATTACTAAATCCAGTATTTCAGTAAGGTCCAATAAGTCAAATCATTCAGACTTTAGTGCTGAAGAAGGGGTTCAGAACATAGAGAGACCTCCAAGTGCAATTTCAATAATATCTGATGCCACACCTGATGAAAATGAAATCACAAATGATGATGAAATCCAAGAAAGGGCTCCAAGTGCTGTTTCTGCAAAATCACATTCCTCTGTAAGATCCAGGACATCAAAAGTTTCTGAAATAATCATAGATGAACCAGATAAACAAAACGTGGAGAGGGCACCAAGTTCTAGGTCATTGAAATCTGATGCCTCTGGAAGATCTGGTCCAGGTGACCCTGTCAACAAAGAAAAAGAAGCAAGAACAGAAAGTGGTTTGTCCTCAATTTCTGTAAGATCAAAGAAGTCAGAAGATTCTGAGATAAACAACAATGTAGAGCAGATAGCATCAAGTACAGCATCAGTTACATCTACAACATCTGCAAGATCTAAAAGGTCAAATATTTCAGTAGTTGCTCCTAAAGAAATTGGGAAAACAGATACTGAAGATGTTCGAGCATCAAGTGCAATGTCTGCAAAATCTTGTACATCTGAGAAATCAAAATGTTCAGAAAGAACAGTTGAGAAGGATGAAGAAGCAAGTAAAGTGGTAGACAGAACATCCAGCTCTTTGTCTGCAAAATCAAATCAATCCATAACATCTGATGCCACTGTTAAATCAAGTGTTGTGCCTACTAAATCAAATGCTTCTGCAAAATCCCTCCTCTCAGAAGCTGAAGAGCCTGACAGAAGATCCACAAGTGTGGTTTCTAATGCATCTGCAGATTCTAAAATGTCTGAAGCTGGTGTGTACACAAAAGCAAACCGTTCACCAAGCAAATTGTCAGTTAAATCCAATGTATCTACAAGATCCAAGAAGTCTAAAATTTCTGAGGGTGAGGACCATACACCCACAAACACAGAAGATAGGGAATTAAACAGAGATGAGAGTCCGTTGTCCAATCACTCAGAAGTATCTCAAGCAGAGAATTCAAATGAATGCATTTGTGGTGCAATAAACAAGCCATCAAGTCCAGTGGCATCATCTGAAAAAGACTCCGACCATGAAGAGGTACCTGCAAGTCCTCTGTCTAAAAAGTCAGCAAAGTCCAAAATTAGTTCAGTTGGTTCCGCCTCTGAAAGAGTTTTAACACCAACAAGCACCTCAGTTTCTATTGGGGTTGTTGAAGACCATGAGGCTGATGATGTTTCAATTAACTCAAGAATATCTGCTTCATCAAAGACTGAAATCTGTGGTAAATCTGACCAGGGTTCATCAGAATCTCCAGTACAAATCACAAATGAAGCAACACCGACACCAGAGGGAAGACCTAAAAGTTCTACAACAGCTAATTCAAATGTCTCTCGTAAATTGAGGTCCAAAAGCTCTCATTGTGGCTCTGCATGTCCTACAGACACAATTCAGGACAGAGATGATGTAGCAAGCAATAAATCCTCTAAAATAACATATTCAATAATTTCATCTGATAGCCAACCATCTGCCAACAGTTCAGTGAAACAGAGCTCTCAAACCCAGAAGATTTGTCCATCTAGCAAAGCTTCCGGTATGTCTGTACACACTGAAATCACAGGTCAAGAGAAAGCTGAAAGTCCATATGTTACCAAAGTGTCTCATAAATCTCAAAGTGTCTGTTCAAAATGCAGTTCTACACAACAAAAAGGAAAAATGTCACCTGCTTTGAGTGCCTCAGCAATCTCAGACTCTGAGAAATCCAAAACCAAAGAAGGAAATACTGCAGAAATGACTGACAGGCCAAAGAGTAAAATATCCAATCCATCCTCTCATTTGAAAGTAAATGGTCAAAATAATTTTGAAACTACAGTTGTCAATGAAAGAAGCAATAAATCAAACACCATGTCAACACAGAAAGTTGAGGACAATGCAACCAGGTTATCTGTTACCTCAGGAAACCATCTAAGTCCTAGCCCACCAAAATCTCCTAAAAAATCCAAAAAACCTGTTATTCTACTTGGCAGCTCTAATGATAGTGTGTTATTGCAGACAGTTCCTGCTCCAGAACCAAGAGAAGAATATACTGACCATTTGAATGCTGCAGCAGAAAGACCTCAGTCTTGTAGATCTGATACAAATGTCAGTGAAATTAAGAGTGAAAAAAGTAGCAAATGTAGAAAAAGAATTGGAAGCAACTCTTCTTGCCACAAGATGAATGATGACATGTCTGAGCCGAGTCCTTCTCGCTTGCCAAATGCTTCTCCAACTGAGGTGGTGAATGAATGGCTGAGGAAAATCCCATCAGACACCACCTTGTGTGATTTGGGGGACGAATTCCATGACAATTATGTTTCAATAGAGCCACTTTGCACATCTGATGTGCCTTCAGGAGTTGATAATGAGCATGGAAGTTTGCAGCCAAGGGATGTTACCAAGCTTGAAACACAAAATGAGATGGAAGGTGCTCATGTGGTGAGTACAGAGGGTGCTACGGACAAAAAATCTCCTGAAGTTGCTGAGGGTGATCACTCTCAGAGAGGGGATGAACCAAAGATGTTTAGCTCCTCAGTTCTGGTGATGAAAGTCTTGCTGACCCCCAAACTCGACCGATGCAATAGCCTACCAGAGGTATCTCCTGTATATGGACGTAAGCTCAGTGCATCAGTGCAAGGTCTTCTGGATTGTTTGGCAAATCTTCAGTTGTTAGACTTTGGTCCTAGTGATGAAGATGGTAAAAAAGAAAAATACCAGGAGCTCACGAGCATGCTTAAGTCCCTTTGGCTTTGTGACCCAAAAGACAATGAGAAGACATCTGTGGAAAGAAACAAGCGTCTGGATGAGGAATTCAAAGCCAGGTCATCCTCAGGGGTAGATGTTAACAGTGGCTCAACCGGTTCAGGGAAAAGTAGCATTAATGATGGCATCCAAGCCCAAATCAACACAGAATGTGAAGGCTTGGATACCCTGACAAAGGTACTGGAAGTTGATGAAACCGTGGAAGGGGAAGCTTCAGAAACCAAATACGATTCAGCCACTCCAGATATAGCAAGTCAAGCTCAGTGGACCCCAGAGACAAAGGGCACAATTGAAGTGAAGCTAAAAGATGATGTCCCAGGCTCTGAAGAGACAATCAGGAGTAATGATAGTCCAAGGGAACTCATTGAAACACCTCTTTCATCAAACAAGAGTTCTGGGAATAATCCCAAAAAAGAGGAAACTGAATCAGACCGTCAAGAGGACACAAGTTCAGGCAGCGCTCCAAAACATCAAAAAGGTCAATTATCAAAAAGGCTTTCTCAAGACCCTGATCCTGTATGGGTTCTGAATTTATTGAACAAATTAGAAAAGCAATTTATGACACATTATATTAATGCAATGGCTGAGTTCAAAGTCCGTTGGAATCTGGATGACAACGAGCAACTTGATGCCATGATATGCGAATTGCAAGATGAAGTCCGCAGACGGATACAATCAAGTATAGACAGGGAGCTAAGGAAAATCCAAGGCAGAGCTGAAAGACCAAGACCACCAAAAGACACAATGTCACGTGAATCTACCATTCAAACAGTGCAAAGGCGGAGACGTCTGAAAGTGATGCGCAACCAATCAATTGATCCACAACCTGCTAAAAGTGACGATGATTACACAATGACATGGACCGACTTCAGCGATCAACATAGCGATGATGAATATTGTCCTTGTGACACATGCTTGAAAAAGAAAATGGTATCCAAGCATGTGTTACCTGTGGAAATGTTTAATTCAGCCCCTGTAATGAAAGACTTTGATTTAAGGAGAATTCTCCAGATGAAGAAATCGTCTCCAACCAGTGAAAAGATCGAAGAAACTGCCAATGAAGAAGCAAGTGAGCTGGAAATAGAAAATGCAGGGCTTAAGGCTGTCAAAGAGGAGGATGAGAAAGAGGGTGCAGATAAAGAAATACTTGCTTCCAGTGCTCAAGAAATTGAAGATGAAAAACGAGAAAGTGAGGAGGGTGAAGAGAATGACAGTGCCTCCAGCACTTATGTAGAAGATAGTTCCGAGAATCAATCAAATATACTCAGACATTTAAAGAAAGATGTGAATGAAGTTGGGGAAATTGCTGAGATGTCTTTTAACACAATGATGATGCAACAAGATGAAGAGCAAGAAGAGAATATTGAGATTGATTCTGATTTAACGGCTGTCAAAGAAAGTGCAAGCAGTTCTAAGATTAATGAATTAGATGAAGATGTGGCAAATTATGACATTAGTGAATTTGATGACATAATGCAAACTGAAGCAGCAAAGGAGGAAGCAACTGAAGAACACACTGAGGAAGAATCAGAACAGCAGGACAAGACGGATGATGATGAAACTGCAGAAGAAGGGCAAACTGCAAAAACAGAATCTGTTAAAGAGGGTGAGACCACTGGCGAAGAGACTTCAGAGGATGGGCAGACTGCTGAAACAGTAGCTGTTGGAGAGGATGACGTAGCTGGTTGTGACACTGCAGAAGAAGGTGAGACAGCTGAGGGTGAAAAAGCAGAAGATGCACAAATTGCTGAAGCTAAAACTTCAAGAGATGGTGAGACAGCAGAAGATGAGTCTGCAGAAGCGGGTGAAACAACTGAAGATAAAGCTTCAGAAGATGGACAAATTTCAGATGAAGAAACCACTGCAGAAAATGGACAAACTTCTGAAGGTGAAACTGGAGAAGACGGCGAGACAGGTAATGGCGACACTGCAGAAGAGCATGAGACGGCTGAAAGTGAAACTGCAGAAGAGGGACAAACAGCTGAAGATGAAACTGGCAAAGAAGGTGAGACAGTTAATGATGATACTACAGAAGAGCATGAGACGGCTGAAAGTGAAACTGCAGAAGAGGGACAAACAACTGAAGATGAAACTGGAGAAGAAGGTGAGACAGTTATTGATGACACTGCAGAAGAGCATGAGATGGCTGAAAATGAAACTGTAGAAGAAAGACAAACTGCTGAAGATGAAACTGGAGAAGAAGGTGAGACAATAAACAATGACACGACTGAAGAGCATGAGACAGCTGAAAGTGAAACTACAGAAGATGGAGAAACTGATGAAGATAAAACTGCAGAAGAAGTTGAGACAGCTAAGGATCAAACTTTAGAAGATGGACGAACTGCTGAAGCAGAAACTGTTGGAGAAGATAAAATAAGTGAAGATGAAACTGCAGGGGAGAGTGAGGCATTAGCTGAAAGTAAATCTGTAGAAGGAGAGACTACTGAAACTGTGGAAGAGAGCAATATTGGTGATGATGAAACCGAAGAAAAGGGTGAGACAGCTGATGGCAACACTGTAGAAGGGCATGTGATGGCTGAGAATGAATCAGTAGAAGATGGGGAAGCTGAAACTGCAAGAGAGAGTGATACAGGTGATGAGGACAGTGCAAAAGAGAATGAGACAGCTGAAGATGAAATGGCAGAAAATGGCCAAACTGCTGAAGTTAAAGCTACAAGAGAGGGTGAGACAGATGGTGATGAACCAGCAGAAGATGAGCAAAATGCTGAATCTGATGCAGGTGAGGAACATACGGCTGATAATGAAGCTGTAGATGATGAGCAAACTGCTGAAGCTGAAAGTGATGAAGAGAGTGAGACAGCTGAAGATGGAACAGAAGCAGAGAGAGATACCGTGGAGGGGACATTGGTTGAAGAAAGAGGAACTGATGTAAAAAGAGCTGATGAAGATGAAGACAACACAGATGATGTAGGAACTGCAGGAGTTGTGTCAGCTGATGAAAAAGGAACTTCTGAAGTAGAAACAGCAGATGAGGCAACCTCTGAAGCTGAAACTGAGATGTCTGAAGAGAAAGCTGCTGTTGAAGATGGCAACACGGCAGAAGACAAAAATGCTGTGGTAGAGCTGACAGAGAAAACTCATGATCATGAGACGACTGGAGAAGAGACAGACAAGAGTCAATCAAATGATGAGGAAGACAAGGAAACTGTCAGTTGTGAAGCAGCAAAGGAGGAAGGTGTTCTTTCTAACTTTGAGGACACTGAGAGTCATGATGTTTTAACTATTCTTGAGGTAATTGAAGATGAAACACCCCTTAAGAACAAGGATGACATTGTTCTAGATAGTGTTGATGATAAAGGTGAAGAAAGTAGAAAAGAAGATGATGAGGTGGAGATAATGGCAAATAAAGCTGGTTATGTGGCCAACACTGGTGAATCAGCTGAAGCTGGTGATGAAGCTGAGGATGACACAGAGCCAGACGTGGAGAGAAATGAAGGGGAGCATAATAGGAACAGGCTAGGTTTACACCCTCTGTTACAGCCAAAACCAAAAGATGACAAACCAGATGGGGCGACTTCATTTAATGTTTTGGTAAAGCACAACTCGGAGTCTGAAGATGGTGCCGATGCTGACGGAGAAGACTCAGAAACAGAAGAACACAACCAAGTCATAGATTTGAGTTCTGAGTCAGAGATCAAGCCACAGAGGAAAACTGCACATAAAACCTTCAAAATGCTCGTTCACACTCTGAATTTCCTCAAACTCTCAGCCGCTGGACAACCAAAGAGCAGGGAAGAGGATAATGAACATGAAGTTGAAGATGAAGAGACTCCAGAGGATGGGAGTGATGATGCAGAAGAGCGTTCCTGTGTGGAGAAAGACGAGGTTGAAGAGAACAGAAAGGAGAAGGGCAAAGTCTCAGATATTACAGAGGATACATCAGAAGATGAGGAGGACCAGACAAACGAGACTGATGATGATTCAGAGGTTCATGAATGGGAATCATCTGACAATTCCTGGCAAAAGCGGATAACAAAGTCATCCCTGGAATCTCAGTCAGGTTCCTTTGATGAAGTTCATGAGGAACAGGCAAAAAATCAGAAAGGTTTAAATCATCTGAAAGCCAACTAGTAGAATCCTTCCTCAACATCAAAGACAAGAACCAAAGATGCTCTTTAGCATGTGAAAATGGTTCCAGAGGGGTTATTTCTCTATTATACTTAGACCTTATAATAATGATCCTATACACCTAAATTTAGTTTTTTAATAGCCCTTTGGATTCCTTATTTTATTGACCAAAGAGTAACATATAATGCACTTTACTTATTATTAATTTATTATGATTCCATTATACATGCAGATTATATATATGCAAAAGCACAGCATTACTGCTCAGGTACTGTAAAAAGGGAATTGTTAAAACTTGAAGCTCTTCTAACTTACTGGAAGGAAATTTGTTTAGAATTTTAGTACATTTATGTCAAAACAACATATTTAATTGCAGTTATTTATATAATTCAATCAGTTGTAAGCCTTAGCCATGCGAGAGACTTTTGACAAAGGCTTAATAATGTATCATAGTTACTGTATCATACTGTATATGTATGTGCTGCTATACAAATGTTCCTTTATTGAAATACAGTGTAAATGGAAAACACATCATAGTGACATGCAATGGAAATCAGGGGGCATAAACTGTGTGTACGAGTGCATGAGAATGAATGTGTATTGAACATATTTCAATCTGAATGTTTGTTTCATTGTAGCAATATGAATTAATAATCTAATTTACCTGTAGGTTGCTTGTGGGAGAGCATACCTTTAAAAAAAACATAAAATAATTTTTTTTATCCCTGCTAAAACACATAAGAGATGTCCATTCCATAAGACTTAGTCAGAATATGTACATAAATGCTTACTTTTAAAGTAGGTGCATTGAATGCAGATGTACAGGATTGACATCACCAGAAATCACCAATATACAGCATATTGTATATTATAAGAATTGAGGTGCACACATTAAGCCATGCCTTAGATGTTTTGCCACATAAAGAACTGCACATCTAATGGACTGTAATGTCTATGTTTTGATCACACAAAACTCTAATGTGAAGCGATGCAGATGCAAATGTGGTTCCTTCATTGCAGTTACTTTTCTGCTGGCCAAATGGTTAATGGTTAACTTAAATATAATACATTCCTTGTTACTTAAATGTACAAATTTCCTGCCTGAAATAAATATATTTAAGCTTAAATGGTTATTTTATTTCATTTTATTACATTTTTTTATTTACTTTTCTTGTTGTTGGCTTAAGAATTATTGAAAAAGCCTGAAAAATTCCTAGTGCTTTTCATGAGAGATCCCTTTTTAAATATGACTAGTCTGCTCAAATGCATCAATCAGGTTTTAAAAAATTGTCCATTTGTGTTGGCCTTTTGTTTTGTATGCTACTGTCTGTCTAGAGAGCAAATTAATCCCAGTGATCGGAGTAAAATTAATGTTTGTTGAGTAATTATTTATTTTTATTTACCTTTAAAACGACAAGTTCTAAAAAAAAAGAAAATTTTCCATTTTTAAAAGAAGGCCCAAATCTCTAGGATATACTGTACATGTCGACATATAGAATCCTTCCAGAGGGATGTTGCATAATTTAATTATGGAGTCATTGTTATTTAAGTCTGTCACTAGCAAGCATTAGCACTAATAATGACTCCCTGGGGCCGGAGTGGGACTCATTTTCAGCCCTGGAGTTTCATGCCTTAGACCGGCCCACTTATTTTTTTTACTGGCCTTTTCAGTGCCGCCTTTGCGCTTTCTATTATCCATTTTTCATCTATTATTTTTTGCTCGGATATCTCTAACAACTGAGTTTTGTTTGTTTGTTTGTTTTTTTGAGCAAGGTGGCGCTGTCAGGGGAGTCAAAAGATTATTACATCATCACTAGGGTTGCCAATTAACTTCAGAAATGGAAAATAAGGGACAATTGTGATTCTTTATCTTTTATTCTTTAAGAAAATAGTGTTTTTTCTTGTATTCTTGTAGAAAATAAGTGTAAGGGATGCTCCAAATATTTGTAGGCTACTGTACCATAATGTATGTCTGCCTGCAGTCAAATAGTTCTCAGAAATAATCCCAATTGTTTAACCTATGTATGTGCAATTATTCTACAAAAATGTCATCGGCCTGAGTACATTGTACTAATATAGAATTGTGACTTCACAAGTGTAGTGGTTTAGGAGGTGAAAATACTGTGAAATTACAAATGGCATGGAATTTGAAAGTGTAACAACTGAAGGTCTATGAAACGTCAGTCAATAAAGCATTTTAAACAATGGCATTTAAAGTTTTGAACTAAAAAATCATTGCAACCATATAGCCTTTGGATGCATGAAAATGCATATTTTTCAATTAAAGAAAACTTAGGGAGTGTGGGCTGCTTCTGGTGCTTGTATTTGTACTTCAATAATGAGGTCCAAGAATACACTAGAAGTACATTTTTTTTAATGTATTTTTTTCTCTCTCTCTATTTAACTGCATTACAATGAAAGACGTCTTCCCTCAGGTAGACTGAATGTTGGGCTCATGATCAATAAATTGTTTGCATTCGCCCAAACTGAATCAAAACGCGGATGGTGAAGGGAACTATGAGGCGCCGGGCTGGACAAAAGTATGGGAAGCCAAACACACCAAAAGTGGGACGAAACAGCGCGGTATTAAAGTGTTCTTTCTAACCTGTATTAAACCTGTCATCAGCGCGGCTCAATGGACCGAGCTGCGCGACAGACTCGACAGCGCAGAGAAGACGTGTTTACTAGTGCCACCGAACTGACAGCGCAGCGCTGATCAGTTACTACAGCGCAGCGCGAACATTAGGCTACTCTCCGCAGAAGTTCGTGTTTTTTTTTCCTGCACATAACGAAAATTAACCATGATTTTATTACACTAACCTTTCAACCATATATTTGTAGTTAAACTGTGGGTTAAAAAAATGACAATCAATCCATGGTTACTGCACTTTTACTATAGTAAAACCATTGTTAATTTCCGTATTTCCATAAGGGAAAATTTATGTCCTGACAGAAAAGTATCCGTACATTTTACTCTTTTTTTCCAAGTATAATCATATCCTACAGTTACACAAATATCCTTAAATGTAAAATTTACTTAAAATATGCCTTGATGAATGAAACCATAAAATATTTTAATTCTAAGAGGATAATGGAAGTTTCTGCTATGAACGTGACTACTAAATATAGGCTATATGTGATTCAAAGTAGCTAACACTACTGTTTACATGTAGTAGCCTAATATGAAAGATAATAAGCAAAAGAAATGTAATAACTCTTCATTATGTTATGTGCAGGAAAAAAAACACAAACTTCTGCGGAGAGTAATGTTCGCGCTGCGCTGTTATAACTGATCATAGCTGAAATAGACCTTCATCACTCTCTCGTTAGTATAATCTCTCTATTTGTATAACTATTTTCACTTTTCTTCCAGTAAAATGCATATTCTATGACAGACACCTGCCAATCTATTACTCTTCGATAAATCAACTGTCCACTCCCATTACAAAAGCCCTGTTGCTTTGGTCACTGTGCCTTTCAAAAGTTTTGGATAAGTAGAAAATTGTTTCAAGGGAGCTGACTTTGTCTCTGAACCTTTAATAGATCATACCATGACATTCATGACACAATAAAAAATACCTCCTGAAAATATTGAAGGTGAAAATCAGCAAACTATTAATAACCTGACCCACCTCATTCATCAACCACCTAGTTAAGAGTCAATTCCCAGCCAGTGAGACATCTGAAACAACCTGCATTTTGTTTTTGCTCCCCAACTTTGCTGTTTTTAACAGGCCGGCTGGTTCACTGAACAAGGGCAGAGCCCAAGGATCCCACGACGACTCCAATTACTTAAGTTAACGCCCCCCAAAATAGCGTCACCTGTCCAATCCATTAGTCTAATATAGATATTTGTAGACTAAATGTTATGTATATTCAGGGACTTTTAATTACTGTCTCTTTCTGACAGGTAAGTGTGTGGCTGGTTATTTGAAACTGTCCTAAGAGACTTCATTCCCTGCCTTTGCAGTGCTGCAGTCATAGGTATATACAGCCCCATTGGACAAGTCTGATGGATGGTCCTCTCTTGTTGAGTTTCCATCCTCTGCTTCCAGAGGGAACGTGACATAAATAATTGGTGTCACTCCCATCGACCGAGTGCCACACTCGAAGGCGGGGCTCAAGCAGCTGACAAAACACAGCTGTCTAATTTCACAAGTTCTCACCATATCCTAGAGGGCCTTCCATCTCCTTACAGAGAGAGAGAGAGAGAGACACGATGAGACCATTTGCATTTTAGCATCATGTAAAGACGGACCAGAGGAAGAACATACAGTGCATGACTATGTTTGCATGCCAGTATGGATGGCATACAGAAGTGAAGTTATTGCTTTAACTTTTAACTTTATTTGCAATAGTACTGTAATCATTTGAAAGCTTTATACTCAAATGTTTCAACAGAAACTGCTTTATTGCTTTTAGTCTTATAAGGGTCAAAGACAGGACACTTATTATATTCATTTATTCAAAAATACATCATAAAGTGCAGTACATGAACACTGACTTTAACTTCCATGATGAGTTTTTTTTTTTGTAAAGGGTGAAATAACTGTCCTGTATGGAAGCCTGTTTCCACCATGGATTACAAAAAAATAATAATAATAATAAAAGTTTAAAAAAAATTCCTAGTTCAGCAATTCCAAGTTTAGGTTTCAGATTTCTGACTTTTTCTTGCAATTCTGAGTTTATATCTTACAATTTTGCATTTTTTCCTCAGAATTTTGAGTTTACGGTATATCTTGCAATTCTGAGTTTATATCTCACAATTCTGCCTTTTTTTCTCTGAATTGCAAAAAAAAAATATATATATTGTAATCACCTTTGTCACACCCCTGTGGACTGTCGATTATGGTTTCTCCCTCTGTGTCCTTATTTGGTTGTTCGTGTTCCCATTATTAGTTAATCACCTCATTGTGTTCACCTGTCTGCCCCGTCATCAGCGGTGCGGTTCCCACGTATAGCTTTCCCCTGATCGAGCTGGTTAATCCGGTCCTGTATCTGAATGGTGTTAATATGGAGGTAGAAGAAGTTGGTCTTCCTGAGTCGAGTCTAGTCACAGCTGATAGTCATGAGTCTAGTCAGATCTCAGCTGATCAAACAGTCACGTCACATGACGTCTGGTTGCTCTAAATCCTGTAACTTCCTGTCTGTTGCACCCAGATCAAGGACTGTTCGGCTGTATCCCAGACTGGCTTCCAGCGTGGAGGACCCACCGCTGGTGTCGGCACGGGCAGCTGGCATCCCGAAACCAGCGCTCTCAAGCCCGCCAGCCTCTGTCACGAATCCAGTCCCTCCCGAAAACCCCCCCGCTGCACCAGCTCACCCCTCGCCTGGACCCTCCACATACCCATCCAAAAGTTCCGGTTACCCATCTCATCCCATCACCGTCTCTGTCCTCAGCCCCGGAAGGGCCCCTGATCCCCAGGTAAGCCCCGGAAGGGCCCCTGATCCCCAGGTAAGCCCCGGAAGGGCCCCTGTTCCCGAGTTCAGCCCCGGAAGGGCCCCGGATCCCCAGTTCAGCCCCGGAAGGGCCCCGGATCCCCAGTTCAGCCCAGGAAGGGCCCCGGATCCCCAGTCAAGCCCAGGAAGGGC